CGGGGCTGGCTGGCATGTGGTGCTGGGGGATCGAACCGCGGTCCCTGATGCTTTGCTAAGCTTGTTCTAAGTAGGTGCTTTAGACCACTGAGCCATCTCCCCAGCCCCCTGAGGTTGCATTTTGTTCCTTCTCGTCATTTTGTGTAGCACTGTCTTCTGACCTTTGTTGTAGATCTTTGCTGTAGTTATAACTTTCGCACGTAGTGAAGTTCAGGTGCTGCTCTACAAAGGTTGGACTCATCCAGCTGTGTCTGGCTTGGGTCTGGCTGCTGTACTCGGCTCCTTCCCACTGCTGCCCTTGAGGCTGAGCCTGTTGTGCCCCTTTGGCAAGATGTTCTGCTCCTTTACTAGCTGGGTGGGTCTATCCTCTACACTCTCTGCCGGGATTGCAGCTGCAGGGTTCCACCCCAGGCGTGTATGCCAGGCCTGAGCTGTGCCTGGAGGGCGCAAGGTGAAGTAGGGGGAAGAGGAAGCTCTGCCACACACTGTTTCTGGGCTAGGACTGGTTCTTGGGGTTCCTGGAATGTGGCAGAAATTCCTACTCAGATGGCGGCTTGGGGGAGGTGCTGCAGATTGTTGGGGGCGCCCCAAGGGGGTTGGAGAGGTTCCGGCCCATGTTGCGCCTGGGCTGGGGCTGTTCCCGCTGGCGCAGGGTAGGAGGAAGCTCTCCCACACACTCACCGGGCCTGGGCTAGGACGGGGTGGAGGAGGTGCTGGGGTGGAGGAGGTGCTGCGGAGTGGTTGGGGGCAGCCCAAGGGGATGGGAGAGGGTCGAGCCCATGCTGTGCCTGGGCTGGGAGTGGTCCTGCAGGCGCAGGGTAGCAGGAAGCTCTCCCACACGCACCGGACCTGGTCTAGGACTGGGTCTCACTAGTGGTAGTTTATGTTACTTCAGAGACATGTAATTATTACAGGATCAGTAACATTTATAAAAAGTGTTCTGTTTCTGAAAGGTGAAACACTAAATTTACTAAGAACTGTCAGTTATCAGGCTGGGGAGATAGCCGAGTAGAATAAGTGCTTGCCTGGCAAGCGCAAGATCCTGAATTCAATTCCCAGTATTACCAATAAAAATCTGTCAGTTATTGAACCCCTCCTTTGTACTAAGGACATGTATGTTGTTATCAGTTCTACAGAAGAATATTACTGCTTGTTTTATAAATGATAAAACTGCGATTTAGTGGGCTTAGTTACTCTGGATCACTCATGTAATGGCAAAATCAGGATGTGATCTAAATGTACTCTGTGCTTGCTCTTCCTATTGCTCTTGGCTGCCTGCCATGACACGATGCCTTTTAGGTGACATCCGCAGCTTTCAAATCTGAAGTCTATGTTTATAGTTAGTAAAAAGGATGTGAGTGTACATGCGTGTGTACATACATATTTATATATGTTAACACATTTTCTATTTTTAAAAAACATTAAAAAATTATGATTGGTATTAAACATAACATCATTCAGTCATTCCTTTAGGTAAGAGAACACAGGCTGACCTGTTCTTTTATATGAATTATGTGGGATCTGGTATTCCCACTCCGAGTTTTTTAAAACATTTTGATGCTTCTTGGAAATTACTAATGATTTGCATTAAACACATTTCTAGAAATTAAAGCTCTTCAGCTGACAGCATTCTAAAACTTATATTTATTCTATGTAACTTTTTTGTTTTGTGGTACCGGGGATTGATCTCAGGCCCTTGTGCTTGCCAGGCAAGAGCTTATTCTGCTGAGCAATCTCCCTGGCCCCATATATGTATTCTAAATGCTAATCACACAGAAAGAAAGCTGCAGTTTACATTCATGTGTTGCTCATGTGTTCAGTCTCTAATCACGTGTCATATGTGCTGCCCCGTATTCATAGAGCTATATATAAAAGGATTCAGAATGTCAGAATGCAGGTATGTCCAGTATGTGTGCATTCTGTTATGAAGTCTATTATAAAAATCAGTTTGATAACTCTGTTCTTTATGTGTTTATCTTTCCAGTAGATGATGTCCTCCTTCTAAAATTGATAAAGGATTAAGAACCTTTATCTGCTTTCTCCCCTGTAGCTATTGTGAGCCATAAATTTTTAAAATCTTCACTGTGTGCAAGACTTTATAAATATTATAAGAATTTTGATTAGAAATTCAAGATACATAAATATGCTTTTAATATTTAAAAGCAAAAAACAAAGGTTCCATTGTTTGAATATGGTATTGTTATATGAAATCTCTGTTCCCTAATTATGGAAAGCACAGATCAGGTATAGCATGATATGTAGTTACATAGTTTCAATTCTCACTATAGCTACACTAATTTGTGACTGTTGAACCTTTTTTGGGGGGTTGGGGGTCTTGGAAATGGAACTGAGAACCCTGTGCTTACCAGTTAGGCACAGTGCCACTGAGCTCTACCCCTGGCCCCTTATGCTAACAGCCAGTCCTACCCTATCCACTAGATGCTAATGTACAGGCTTCTGTTAGACTTGAGAGCTCTTCCTTGGGCTGGGGATTTAGCTCAGTGGCACAGAGCCTGCCTTGCAAGCACAAGGTCCCGAGTTCGATTTCTGGTGCCAAAAAAGAAATTATCTCTTCCTTTATAGTTTACAGTCATTTAGAATTTGATAGTCCAGGTATCAAGAAAATATATTCCATTTCTATTGCAGTGATGAAGAGCGTTACAGGTACAGGGAGTATGCAGAAAGAGGCTATGAGCGCCACAGAGCAAGTCGAGAGAAGGAAGAACGACATAGAGAAAGACGGCACAGGGAGAAAGAAGAAACCAGACACAAGTCATCTCGCAGGTTTGCACTTTAATAAAATAGTGATTCATTTTGAAGCCAGAAATTGATTTAACTTTAGAAAGTAAAAGCAAACATTTCCAAACAATGAGTGATTCAGAATAACAGGTTGGAATAGTTGGTTCCTCATGATCTTCAACAATGAATATTTAAGTCTAGTAAAATTACTCCAAAACCAAAATTAGCATGGAATAAAGATAGTATGAGAGATTTTGGTTTTATTACATTATCCCATTGGGAGAGGGAATTTTAGTATGTGAGCAAATCCTTAACAGTAAATATTATTAAACAAAGCAGTACTTGGCTTAAAGAAGCAACTTAGGGCTAGTAGTGCACACTGTCCCAAGAAGAAAAAGCTATTAAATTTTAATGCATATTGTTTGTGGAAAAGCAACCCCATAAAATAGAATTTCCTATTTTGATTAAATACTTGAATGTCTATTTTCTAATGTTGTCTTTCAGAATAAAGTAAATGGGCTTTGGTAACTTGGAATAATACTGGTAATGTTGATCCTATATTAATGTAGTCTCTTCATAAAAGTCTTACAGAGACTGATTACTTCTAAGATATGTTCATGAGAGAATGGGATACTTGATCTTAAACACAGTGTTACATTGAGAAATTACATAGAGTAGGGGGCTTTGATCACTTATTGTACATTTAAACATTTTGAAACAGCACGCCTTTCTCTTTAGTAATAGTAGACGTCGCCATGAAAGTGAAGAAGGAGACAGTCACAGGAGACACAAGCACAAAAAATCTAAAAGAAGCAAAGAAGGAAAAGAAGCTGGCAGTGAGCCTGCGCCTGAACAGGAAAATACAGAAGCTACACCTGCGGAATAGGCAGAGTTTTTGCCTTCTGTGTATATTAGTACCAGACTAAGATACTATAAATCTCATTATTTTTCTGGATAATGTTTAAGAAATTTACTTTCAATTTTGTTCTATTAGTATGAAAAGTTAACTTTTTTTCCAAAATAAAAGTGAATTTTTCACGTTAAGTTAAAAATCTTCCTTTTTTAATATTTAAAAAAATAAAAAAGATGGCATTGATTTTATTTCAAAGAAAGTTATGTGAATGGGTCACTTAGTAGGGGTTTAAAAGAGCCATGTTTACTTTTTGTGTACATACATCTGATGAAGGTCAAGGGCCGCTTGGCCAGGTGTTTTTTGTTAAATACCAGTCTCATAATTTACACTGCAAAAGGGATCACAAGCACCCTCTCTGAGCTATGAAATTAAAACTAGTCTTTCTTATTACTGCTATGGATGTCTTAATGTAGTAAAGAACTGTACACATTTTTGATACTACAGTATTTGATAGCTGATTTTCAGTATTCTAAATTTGAGTACATGGTAAAATTGAGTGGGGCACTTTTGGTAAGACTCGGAGGCATTTGGGTGGCCTCTGAAGTGCCCTATAGTTGCAGGCAGACATCACTGTGACATGTACTGCCTTACGGTCATGTAGCTGAGCCACAGTCAAGCTCATTTGACCTTTTTTGATGTGTTTTCCAAGGCTCACTGATAGAGTAGCATGTAGAGTTTTATATAGTTACGGACTATATTGTGAATGAAAATAAACTTCATGATGAGCTTTGGACTAGTCATTTTATTAAAACTAAGAAAATACAGTTAGAACTATTTTTAGGATATATGTCAGTGATGGGAACAGATAACTTTGTGTTTGAAAGAATGACTAGTGTCTTTTAATTAGAGATGAGAACTAAATAGTTAGAATCATACACAAAAAAGACAAACAGGGCCAGTGATGTAGCTCAGTGGCACAAGCACCTGTGTGGCAAGCGCAAGGTCCTGAGTTTGATTCCTGGTACCAAAAAAAGACAAGCATAATTTCTGAAAAATATTTATTTCTCAATTGATCAACATTTCTCAGCAATACAGTTTTTATGTCCTGACTTTACATCTAAAATTCTCAGATTAGACAGAACTCATACCTGATCTTGAATTTAAATTAATGATTAGAATGGGGCATAGAAACCATTTTTAGTTGTTCAGTTGCTTTTTATTAAATACAAAAATAAAAAATTAAAAGTTGCAGAGTAATGAGAAGTCTTCCATACTGAATAAAACCATTTATAGTTTTTAGTTTTTGAGAATAGTCTCTGAGAGGTAACTGGTGGTCATTAGATCATACTTTTCTTGGCATTTTTAATAGCCTTTATAAAAATTGACATAATTGTTTTACTCTAGCCTATTTGTGATTTTGTGTTTTTTGAGAACCATCAGTGATTTTATAAAAAAGTGCCAGGCCAAGAAACTATAGTGAGAGTAATTTTTCCTTTAAGTTCTTTGAGCATGCTTGTCAAGAAAGTATGCATCATGCCGGATGTGCTCCTCCCATTGACAGCAAGAAGAATGTCACCACATCTGAAAAAAAAAAACCAAGATAAGTGATTACTGTCTTCATCCATAGCTGAAGTTAATGCAAGTTAATTTTGATTCCTCTGCTGCAACTGTCCCTTTTCATTATGTAACTTCTAACTATGGACTTTCCCTTTCTTCAGTTAAATTTTTTAAATTCACTAGATGCTAAAAGTGTAGGAAAGCTGCAATATGGGGCCAAGAGATAGGTAATTTTGTATTTTTTAGATGATAAATGCTACACAGGTATTTTAATTTCTTATATCCCTCTCCCTGAAAGTAAAGACATGCCTTATTTCATTTGGCGCCAAGCTTTTACATATAGAAAATAAAACACTGGATATAAGTTTGTTAAGTAGTCCTATCATTACCTGATTCTTCCATCTTTGTATGCTGGTGTTCCTTCAACAATGGATTTGATTAAAAAAGGTTTGTTGCCACTGTCTTCTTCATAACCTCCTACAATCCGGAAGCCCAGACTTCCAGCTGTGTTTCTTCGTAACACAACATCTTTACAGTTATATAAGTACCTGAAATAAAATCAGTCATATGCACAATTAACTATTAAGTTTCATCTCTTTAATTGTGACTTCATCTCATTCCTTTTATTGGTGATGTTCTTGAAGCCAAGTAGTGCCGGCTAGGTCCCACTCAAAATTGTGTCTTAGCCTAGTAGCTTTTATGTTAATAGCCAGATTTTTGTACTAGTTTCCTATAGCTGAGCACTCTGAAAAATGGCATTACCTGTTAGGTTTTGTCTATGTGTTTACCAAGAAAATAATCATTTTGGACTTTAAAATGAATCCTTGAATTTGTATTATCAGAAAAATTAAGAATGCCTATATGCTTGTTGATAAACCAAAGAAACATTCTTATTGCATATTTTTATTTGTGGATATAATTTTAATGAAGACAAAAATCCTTGAAGTGAGCCCAGTGAAGAAAATTTAAACCTAAATTAGAATAGAATTGTTTTAAGTTAAACAATTCTAAAAGACCCTAGAATTTTTTTTTTTTTTTTTTTTTTTTCCGGAGCCGGGGATTGAACTCAGGTCCTTGTGCTTGGCAGGGAAGTGCTTATTTTACTGAGCCATCTCCCCAGCCCCTAGAATTGTTCTTGATCTTTGAAAAATATTAGTTTATGCTAATATAAGCTTAGACAAAATGCAGTCACAAAGCAAATGGGAATTGAGGGACATTTAAAGCTTGTCAGAATATACAAAAGGAAAACAACATGACAGCTGGATTGGAAGTTACAAAAGGAAGGAAAGATGATAGCTCTTCTGTAATTCAGTAGAATTCTCAACTAAAATAGAAAATACAAGAAATTCTTGTACTAATTGGTGGCCTTTGGACTAGTGTTCACGCAGGTACAGGCCAAGTGCATACTGTTGCAGCTACTGAAGAGATGGAGGAGTGTGTCAGGAACTGGATTTTACTTTAAGAGCCCCTTGTCTACTACATATGTATCTGTCATCCAGGAACTGGTCTGACAGGAAATTATCATTTTTACATTAGTAGAAATCAAGATATGGATGTTTTGTTTGTAAACTACCTTGAAATACTCCTTACCTATTTTTTCGACAAAAAGCCTTAAATGTTAGCTGAAGTTTCTTATTACATATGCTACTGATGTTGCTCATCAATGAAACGTGACTTCAAAATGTTGCTTTCATTTGAAATAAAACAAGCTGTTTTATTTCACTGAAATTATAGCAAAAAGTATGAATTTTATCAAGTGAAAATGCTATATTTTTTCACTGTAAAATACTGCCTGCTTTATCTCACAATAAACCTTGATTCCACTAGTATATTCTTCCAGTAGATGCTATGGTCTCTTTATACATCACATTTTACATAATGGTTCACTGACTGCTCAGTACAGGTAAGTGGCTGTTGACCAAATGCCAAAGCATTACATCTCCACCTGGAAAGTTGTGCATCTGACTTTTGGAGAGAAGAATAAGATGATTTTTGTCATGATCAAGTATGTGAAGTTTCCCCAATTTTGATTTAAAATACTTAAGTGGGTGCATAGAGCATACTTGACGCTGCAGGGTTTTTCTTTTCTTTCAAAGATTGATTGATTTTGGTACAGGGTGTTGCTATGCAGCTTGTGATCCTCCTTTCAGCCTCCTCGGTGCTGGGACTATAGGTGTGCACCACCATGCCAGTTTTGGTGGCCAGCTTGGTACAGGACTGGCACAACATACGGTACTAGGGATGGAACCTGGGTCCTTGTGCTTGCCAGGCAGGCACCTAGACCACTAATCATTCTTTTAACCATCGATTGTGGCTGTTTTTATTAAGTATGTTCTTGGACCTTGACACTTTAGTGAATATTTTATTTCATATAGACAAAGTTTATAAACAGCCATTTAAAACTTTCATGTTCTAATAAAGATTTTAACTTAAATCATAAATGTATCTCTTTTCTTATACTCTTCATTTGAGAGAGTGTCCATTTAGTCATGTTTCAGACGGTTGAATGTGCACCATTACCTGGGTACTTGGGATCTTGTTGAACAAAACACAAGCACTCCTGTCCTGCATCTTCCATGTAAGTGGGAATGAGGGTTAGTAGTTTGGAGTTATTAAGGGTGTTTTTCTTTAGTTAAGTCATGTGTTTACATTTGTTGCAGCAACAAGAATTCAGCACGTTAAACTTTTTTTTTGTGTGTGGAACTGGGGATTGAATTCAGGCCCTTGTGCTTGCCAAGCAAGCACATATTCTACTGAGCCATCTCCCTGGGCCCTAAACTCTTTTAGATCATATCTCAGTTATTTGTGACTGGGTCCTTTTTTTTTAAGTTGATTTATTTCACTCACCTGGAAATAGCAAGGGTTTTGGGTTTTTTTTGTGTTTTGATCACTACACGTTTGAACTACAGTGACCCTACCCTATGAATGAAAATATGAGCAGTTTTCTTATTCTGAACTCTAGTTGAGTCCTAAGGAACATCAAGATTTTGACCCCCATTTGTCACTGAGAAAACTAGTTTACCTCAAAAGTCAAACTCCACTGAATTGAGTTACTGAGTATGGGAAAGTCCTGATGTACACAAGAAGCTAAGGGTTTCTAAAGCTTCCTTGTATCTCCTTATACAGTATACCAACGTGTTCAAAAATCCATTAGAGAACACTGCCTGACCTGAGGAATACGAAGACTGAGGCACAATCTTAAAAATACTATTTAGCATTAGAAAATAGAGTCCATCTAAAGATAGTTTTGAAATGAATCCTGTATTTCTTACCAGGTTGAACTTTAAAATTCCTTAAGTGTTAGAATAGCAGAGTTTGGAAGGGCAGTGGTGTTTGGAGCTTATCCTAAGTGCAGAAAATGGAATCTGTATGTGGCACCTTACTTAAAAGCTTGTCCGGAAAGGCCCTCAGTACCACTAAGAATTTCTGCACTACACAGCCAGCTCCCAGCTTAAGATTTGCATTTACCTGTTTTGGTGTCAGGTGCTTCTTGGCCTGTGGACAGGAGCACCCACTGCTGAAGACAGTTGTTGAAGGTGTAAAACATGGAGAAATACTACACATTTGTTTAAAAACTACTTAAGAAAAAGCTTTAGACTAGTTAATGCTTAAACAAGAAGATACAATTTAAATTCTCTTTTGGATAAATTATGTCATTGTTCCTCTTGCCTAAGAATTTAACTTAGTCTCCTGAAAGTCTTGAAACATTATATTAAATTGCAAGGAAGCTAATATCTGTGCCAAAATAATTTGAAACTTTCACTAGAAGAGAGAGACACTATCAGGTTCCTTTATACTGTGGAGTAATGACAGTGACAATAGTAATTTAGCCGCTAATGCTTATATAACCTTTCTATGTGCCAGAAAGTCATCAAACAACTTTGCTTGTTCTTTACATTTTTCAATCATTTAAATCTCATTGATTCTTTGATTTAGGTACTAATAGTATCCCAACAGTAAACATAAGGAACTAAAGCTCAGAGTTGTTAAGTAACTTAGCCAAAGTTACATAGTTAGTTACCAGGCAGAGCTGAAATTTGAACCAGAAAGTTTTGTTTTGGAGTCTTAAGATTTCATCCACTATGTATAAATTTGGGGGAGCATCTCAAGAATATGATAGCCCTATATTTAATTTTAATAATTGGCTTTTTTTTCTCTATCATAAGGCAAATTTTGACGTTTAAGACAGATATTTGCCATTCACTGTGTTTCATATAGCTGCCAATATGTACAGCGTTTGTCATTCTTACTGCTTAAGTAACAAATACCATTTTCCCTGTTACATTCCCTGTATGACTGTTGGTAAGTCATAGTCAATCAAAAACCAAATCATGGCTAAATCATTTTAAGAGCAAATGTTTCTTTAACACCTACTATTGTACCTATGAGGGGTGATCCAGAAATATAGTCATTGTTTAAATTTTAAAGATTTTATTATACAAAAAGGGAAACTGCCATTAATCTCCCTGAAAAGGGCTGGGGAGATAGCTCAGTAGAATAAGTGCTTGCCTGGCAAGCACAGGGTTCTGAGTTCAATCCCCAGTACCGCAAAAAAAAAAAAAAAACAACAAAAAAACACCTCCCTGAAAATATACTTGTTTATTTCACTTGTCCCATGATTCTTGTTGCTTTCTGAAGCTGTTCTGGTAGGATTTTTTTTTTTTTTTTTTTTTTTTTGCATTTATGTATTTTGGTAGAGGGTCTACCCAGCTCAGACTCCTAGTGATCCTCCAATTTACAGCCTCCCAAGTGCTGGGATTACAGGTGTGTGCCACCATGCCCAGACTCAGTCACTGGCTCAGCGCACCTGGGGGCGGGGCCAGCGTGACATGCAAGACTGGGGATTGAGCCCTGGTCCCTGTGCTTGCCAAAGCAGGCGCTTAGTCCGCTGAGCTGTCTCGCTGGCCCTAGAGCTCCCTATTTTTTATTGGTGTAGGAAAGTACTTGTGCCACATGATAAACACACACACACACATTCAAAAGAATTAACTAATTGGCTGGATCACATTAGGACAAAGAGGTTTCCTCATATCTGGTAAGTGAAAAGAGAAAGTGTAGATTTGTTATTTGAAGGGAATTTTAGTAGGTATGTTTCTTTTTCTTTCTTTTTTTTCTTTTTCTTTTTCTTTTTTTTTTTTTTCAGTACGGGTGACAGAATCCAGGACTTTATGCTTGCCAGGCAGGCACTTAGGCCGCTGAGCTATCTCCCCAGCCTATATGTTTCTTAAATCTATATTTATAGCTGAGTAGTACTCCATTTTATAAGAATACCACATCTTTCCTTAATCCATTCCTCAGTTGAGGGGCATTTGGGTTGTTGCCAAGATTTAGTTATGACAAATTATGCTGCTATAAAAATGGGTGGCCGTATATCACTGTGGTATGATATTTTTAATTCTAGAAAAATACCCAGTCTACAGTCTACATCCCACCAATAGTGGCTGTCCTGGAACTTTCCATATGTGTTTTCACTCACCAATGGGAAAACAAATTGTGTCTCATTAAGATACTAGTGTCATAAACCAGCCCAAATACAAAAGTAGTTTAAGAAATGTAATCATCTCCCACACTCTATGGGGACATCATGTTGGTTGGGACTCACTGTGTTAATTCCAGCCACATGACCCAGGATGGGGACCAGACATCAGGTTGGGTCATATTGTAGATGGAGTCTGGGGCTTCTGGGCTGTTGCAGTCTTCCTGGGGCTCATGTTCTTTGACTTCCAAGGCTTTGAGTACCACCGAGGAGGAAGAGCTTTTTAATAAGGCAACTGCCTCACTCCGACTGACCCCTGTGAGCTCAACTCCATTCACATTCAACAAAATGTCACCTGAAGGCCAGAGAAGCAAAGCTGTCCTTAGTATGATTAAGAACTGCTGCTTAAAGTGTAAAGGGGCAGAGACCAATGGGGACATGGGAATGTGGAGAGGGCAGGGTGCACACAGCCCCTAGCACTGACATGAGGCTTGACTTCTCATGTAGCAGGTGACAAATAATGACAGTAGTCCTTGGTGCTCCCAAGTCTTGTTTGGGCTTTTCTAAAGCATACCTATTAGTGTTTGGCTCTTACCTAAAAAAATAAGGATGACAAAATAAGGGTGTTTACTACTTAAAAGCTACTCTTCCATTCCTTGTTTCCTAGTTCTTAGCAAAAAGGGGGAGTACTTGGCAAAGTTACTTTCACAGAACCTGGTATGTACTAAGCACCCAATAAGCACAGATTAAAGATTGAAGAAGAGACTACCCATGAGGGTGTCTAGCAAGAGTCTAGAGTAATTAAGAGAAATGATTCTGGACCCGTGCTCTTCGATTGCTACTAAGAAGCTGTTCGCTGCATTTCTATTCTATGCACAGATGCCACTGGCTATTCACCGACAAAAGGCAAGGCTGCTTCCACCCATGTGCTGTGGTCTTCTAGCTCATGGTCTTATCAAGTCACTTGTCACTGTACCCCATCATTCTCTACCCAGGAACTGCAGTATCCTGTGCCGGACAGCATTTGCATAAGCAGGTGCTTAAACACCTGAGCTTACTGGCAGGCCCCCGATACATATTTCTAGAGGTAAATTGGACACCACTTTCCTTAAGATAGCCCGTAAACTGTGTGATTAAAAAAGTGAAACACTTCACCAGTGACAAGTACGTAGCATTGTATTTACTTAATATCTACTGAGTCAAAATCTATCAAGTATTTTTTTTCCTGTTGAACCCACAAAATGGAACAGCTCATGAATTACTTTTATCACTGGGTCAATCCAGCAAATAACCAGTTAGAATGAGTGGAACTAAATTATGACATAGATGCAACTCACTCAAAATTGTAACACCTCCCTGTTAATTCACAGGGAAGCCTGAAGGTTCTAACATTACTGGCAGAAACTGGCTTACATCACCCCACATGAGCTAAGAGAGAATGAGCATGGTCTATCAACTATATTTAAGCTAATCATGGTCAGTGGGTTAACAGATGTCCTGGCTAGATCACTCTCATTCTTTGATTAATTCTGGAAACAGTTACCTAACAAACAACCTGATAATTCCTCTCAAAACTCTGTCATTACAGTGCCTTAGTTCTATTTCTTTTTACCTGTTTTTATTCTTCCATCTCTGCTTATGACTCCTCCTGGCTCAATGCTGATGACATAGATAGGCAAGTCCCATTCCATATGTGAGGCTCCTCCTGCAACGGTCATGCCAAGAGATTCGCTGGGGTCTTTTTGAACACTTACCATCTTCTCATGACAGGAAACTGCAGGATAGAAGGGCTGGAGACACACAGAAAACATAGCACATGTATTCCCAACTGTTTTTCTTTTTCTTTTTTTTTTTTTAATGGCAGAAGGATTTTTTTCTTTTTTT